GGCTTTTGGCAGCTGTGGAGAGAAGCACAAGTAGGTCAGATTTTGGGTTCAAGACTATTCTCTCTCTCTCTCTCTCTCTCTCTCTCTCTGTCCCCCCCATTTCCCTCAAAAATGTACGAAACTTCAGGACAACCATCCTGCAAATTCCTCTCTAACAGTAAGAGACGTGGAAAACAGGCCAAGTCACTCATCAAATCCATCCTGATAGCAGAGGCTCATCCATCCTATCTATTGTTCACCTATTTAGGCAAAAATGCTCCCACTCTTACCACCTTAGGACAACCAAGTCTGAAATGATAATTCAGAGCTCCTCTGTTTCAATCCTGCAGTCACACACTGTGGCCCCATCCAGAAGTGTCAGCAGTTACAGAGGAAAAAGCTAAGAAATTTGTCAGATCTTAGCAACAGGATAAAGACTGCACTCTCAAGTGCAGCCATTCACGTAACAGACATGGCTTATAAAATGGGTACAGATAATGCAGAGATCTAATTACTGCTATTCACAGCTACCCAGAGGATAGCTGGATAGCTAAAAGGAAGAGCCTGAAAATGTGCAAAAGGCAGTGCCTGATGACTGTTAAAAAAAAAAAGAGAATGGCAGACATGAACTGGACTGAATTTCCTCACTGAAAGATAAAGATGCTCTGCTGTGCTACACTTGAACAACTGGCACTAGCAATGAAACTGAGAGCCTGATAAGCACAGACAGAGGTCCCACAACAAATGCCTGGCAGAAGGCACACTTGGGACTGATGAAGGAGCTGCTCCATCTATTACAGTGAAGTGGTACGTTGACACTGAGTGTCAACAGTAACACCCCATCTACAACCCCAACAGATATAAAACACAGCTTGCCTACTTATGAACAATGTATTCAGTTGTTTCAACTTCTGTAAACAGCATGCCAGACAACTATTGGACCAACACACTGGTATGGCTCTCCCAAGCAGGTGCTGGGAAGCATACAGGTCTGGATACCTGACTTGGACTTTAGCTCCAGCAAAGATGAGGCCTAGAGAAAAGGCAAGTCCCAAGACAATGCTCACATGACTGTTGAAATGTTTCGCACCCAAAGACATGGTGACCAACTCATGCACAGAGTGCTCAGTCTCTCCAGGAGCAGCAACATTAGACATATAAGGTTTTTGCAATATCTAAGCAACTGTTCAAGCTTTATGTCAACAGCATTTTCCACCCTGCCTTCCCTACCGAAGATCCTACAGACATGGATTAACTAGACAGTTAATGCTAAGATGGAGTAAATGACTATAGCATCTCCTCACAACAAAGAGGTGTCACCCCATGGATGTTTATTAGAATCTTCGACCTGGTTTCTTAATTCTACTCTCTAATGCAAGTATGAAGCTAGATTACATTTTTTTGTGTCTTCATTCCTGTTCTCAGAAACCAAGGACACGAACCCCATGCAGAGGTTTTCTGAATGTGATGTGTCAAAAAACAGTACTCCAATGTGTATATATGGAGATGGGCGAAGCGACCCAAGCAACTCAACTGCCCTGCAACTGTCTCTTTGCTAAGTGTGCACACACTAAAGTATTGCAAGACTGCATCTAACAAATAAGTTCTTGCCACCTTCAAGACATGATGAAGACCAGCTTGATTCTACACACAAGTGAGAAAGAGAACAGTGTGACCATGGGGGCAAAAGGGGTTCAGTATTTACACCACATACAACAACTGCTGAAATCAAGAAACTGGTTCAGCCTTACAACACTTCAGAAGGAATAAAGGATTCTGCAACTTAACAAATAAGACAAATGAAACAACCTTAAGTGAAAAAAACTCAACAACATCAGAGAAGGGAAACAGTACCACAAGATGTTCTGGGAATGACCCAGACATAAGCAGGGAAGCAACATTTTTCACACTTTCTGCAGTTTCCCCAGAACCTCACATCTGTCTTTGCGGACAGAAGACAGCTAAGATCATGTTCTACAACATTAAAGCGAATCCAGCTGAGAGTCTCTCTATGCAGCCCAGCACTACGTAATGCTGATCCAGTGTCCCCCTGTGCAGCCTGCCCACCCAGCCTCCTTCCCTGGTTGTACCTCTGCCCAGCACACACTGCTCTCCCACAGGCCTGTCAGCATCCCAGCACTGTGGAAGGAAACTCAGTCTGTGGTGTATTTAGTTCATACATCATACTGTGGTTTGTAAGGACAGCTGGAGGGCCCATGATACGCATTCACACATGGAGATATCTGCAGACACAAACTAAAAAGAGACATGCAGGTCTACCCACAGGTCAAACTGTACATCTTACAAGACAGAAACTAAAGGGGATGCAAGTGGAATTTCAGCACAAGCAACAGACGAGACTTCCTGTAACAATAATCATTTGAGAAGACACCCAGATTAACAAAGAGACAACAGAAGAGGGAAAATCCAAGGACACATTAAGGCAGCCTCTTTACTGTTCAAGAAATGGTCTTGTACCTAAGCTCTGCAGTTTTCCAGGCATGAGATACTAGTATTTGTTTTCTCCATCCTTCCCATTTCCTCTACACATTAAAGGGATTAAATTATCTCTTCTCAATAAGTTAAGAGTTCCTCTAGAGTGAAGCAATACAAAAGCACGTGTTGCTAACCCAGTCACTTAAAATCACAGTTCTGTTCCTGGCTTAACAAGACACCCTCCAGATAATCCCTGAAGGGAAACACAAAAGGCCTCCTCTGCACACACCCCATATACCCCTCCCTCTTCCCACATGTCTCAGTTTTGGCCTCCCTAGTAAACAGCCTGGGCTCTGAACCATGCTCCTGGCAAAAACACAAATCCCTAATGCTGAACTCATCAGCAATCAGTACTAGACACCCTAGATGTACCAGAGCCAAAGGGGGTGGTGATGGGGAGGAGGGAATTTCCAAGAGAGACTGAAATACCCACTCCAAACAGCCTTGGATAGTGCCTTCCCTGCTGCCAGTCCCACTCCTCCTCTTCCAGAAAGAGCAACCCTTCACCCAGACTGCCCTGGGTTTGCCCTGTCCCCAGCTGTCAAAGCTCAGTTACATTTCTTACCTCAGTTAAGCTTCCAGAGAGTGTTTTTTTGGATGCAGGGAAAACACTGAAGTTGCTTTTATTAAGCCCGACTACCTCATGATGCTAGTCTGACAGACAAGCCAAGTTCTGGCTTCTAAACACAAGCACTTACACCACAAAGAATTTCTGATTTTACTGAGACTTGATTATTAAAATAAAAATTGTAATCATACCAACACAGAATTCCCACTGACACAGAGTTGCAGCTTGTCATCCTCATATTCTCAGTTCAAAGAAACTCATATTAACTATTTCTCAACTTGATGTCCCTTCTGGAGGCTCAGCACAAAGGAGTCAGTATACAGCCAATGTACAGTCACAAGAGGCACCTCTGGCTACCATCACAAACAATGCCCACGAATGCAGTGTAACTTCAAGAACATGTACTTATTAAGGACAAAAACCACAAGAAAAGGTATTCACAGAGCTCTCCTGAACTTCAGGGAAAGGAAGATAAAAAGAGAAGGAATTATTATAATAATTTACATCCACTTTTGATGACAAGTTGGACTCTCTGGCCATAGTGATAAACATTTAAATGCAGTAATGAAATCCACATGACTCTGGGAAGTTGCAAATGGAAGTTACTTACTCAAGTACACTACTTCAGCAGGTCCACACTGTAGTAGCTGAGCACCACTTACTAGAACCTCCTACTATTTCTTTAGACATTTAATAAATACAGAGAAAACACTTTAAAACAACTTAGTTTTTAATTAAATGTGATTTCATCTTCTGATTGGGAAATATGGTTCCCAGTGATCTCACACTTATTTAGTCAGAGCTCTGGAAATATCTTGATAATTTTTTCCTTCATATTTTCATCCTTTGGATTTATAGGAGGAGCTTTGTGTTCACATGAGTGAGGGTCATACAAATTTCTGGTACCTGAATGGGTACCTACATTACACAACACAGCAGAAACACATCCAAGTCTAACATTACTTTGGTTAAAGGAAGGAACCCAAATTCCAATCCGAGTATAAACATATATACATACACACACAAAATAGCAAAAATTCAGCTTCACATGCACTTCTGGAAGATAGGTGCAAGACAGCAAAATATTTCAGTACCACTTCAGCATTTGTATTATCTCCTCCTTCTTGCTCTACAGTCAGCTCAACAATGTCTCTGTACAGATTACACCAAACATGTGCAGGCATATTCAGGCCTTCTTTACTTAGCTAGAAAGCACTCTGCTCCTTGAATCTGCCTCCAGCCTCTCTCAACCTCACCTATCTAGTTAAAAACCCAAAACTGCACATCCGAGACTTAACAAGGATCTGTAGAGACATGTAATGAGTTCCAGCTACTGTCACAAGCTGCCATAAGAGCTCCCTCACAAAACTGACTTGAACAAGCAGTGACAATTACCAAGAAAAAAACTCAGCATCCATTAGAAATAGAGGTTTCAGGCATAAGGCTTAATTACCTGCAATGTCTGCCTTAGGAACTATTTTGAACACAGGACTTGTGCTGAACCACTTGAGAGAAGTGAATTTCATAGAGTGTGAAAGCTTGTTGAACAACTCCCCAAATTAAGAGTTGCAATCCAGCGAGGAAAACAGTGCTAAGAATTTCATGTAGTCCGCTTGTAAGTCGTGCATAAAAATTAACTAATGGAGAAAAGCCACTTCTCAGCACTTTGTGATGGCTGCTCCTCAGATAAAAACCATTTTTTCCCATCCTTTCACTCAGCTTATAGCAGGCTTACTTATCGAGTTCTATCTACATAAATGAGTCCAGGCACCCTTAAATATTGTAGCAATCTCTGAAAACCTTGCCAACTTTCTATGAGTAATAAATTTATATTTGTTTCTCAGAAGATGATTTAGGAATTTCTTGTGTATGATCTAATAAGTCCATTTACCCACCTGTATTTCTGCATTCTGCAAGTGAATGCAGATCAGACCAGAGGATCTGATCATCTTTCATCATCTGATCATCAGACGATCTTGGATCATCTGAACATCAGAAGCCACAAGTGAGTACCCAAATAATCCTGTGTATACTCTAGTGTGACCCTAACAATCCCACAGTGAAGTTCAGATCACAATATTCTCTCTCACTGCTGAGTGAATATCTACCAGAGTGTGGAGAGAAGCTACAAATCCCTTGTTATAACCAGGTCTCAACTTCCTGACTTACAGTGAAAGGAGAGCAACTGCACATGCTTTTAACAAATAGCCTACAGCTGGCCTGAGACACAATCCTTTACAAAGAACCACGAACAGCCAATATTAAATTGCTGAACATACTATAACTTGGGAAATGAGCCAGATCACATTCCTTTATCTTTAGGTTAACTAGCCTGGAGCAAAAGGCACCTAGTAAGCAACAAACTGCTCACAAAAGAACAGAAACGTATTTTTTTTTGCTTTGTAAAAAGTATAATTTTTGAGGGGATAAAAAGAGAAAGAGTACTGCTACTGACTCTTTAAGCAGTTTGTCACAGGCGAAAACCACACTGTCAAATGAAGGAACTGCACATTACAAAATGTGCGACACAGGAGATAGTAATGACAGCAGGATTAAAGAAGTCTTCTCATATTTCCTGCAGATAGCACTATCGTGCCTAATTAATTGATACTGGGGTCACATGAGCCTTCATTTTCCTCTTGGTGCAAAACATCTGTGAAGAAGCTTTTAGGAGATCTCACTCCCAAACAGGAAGAAGCTTCTCTCTTCATAAATCTAGTTCCCTGCCTGCTGGGAATGGGGCCTTTAAAGACCCACAAAATAGTGTTACCCAATT